TTTTTGCAGCAAACCCAAGAATGATACCCCTTTCTTCCCCCCATCTCCCAGCGCACGCTTCCCTTACTTGCCCTTATTCCTTCAAAGGAATAATCCATTTCCTCACACATCAGAGAACTTTCTCAGCCATTTAATTTCCCTTCATTGAGGTTTTTCTCTCATTCCAGAGTCACTTTGATTATAACACTGAGCTCTACTTGATGCAGATGAGAAAATTTTCTCTGTACTGCAATGCAAAACCTTTGCAGAAAGCAGTCATCTTTACTCTAGATAATTAAAATCAGTTATATATGCTATATATATATACACATCAAATACCTGAACACAGCCTCAAAGCTAGAAATCCTCTTCAAATGACCTCTTAAACTGATGACACATACTTGTCATTTGAAGGTGTACCTTTTGAACAACTCAGACAATTATTTAATGAGCAAGTATTCCAGACCTTTCCCAAGTGAGTGCCAGCAACAAATGTTGGTTCATTTGTAAGTTATCTCCTAAACAGTATTGGGCAGGAACTTGTAGCATTAGTAGTCTACCTTAAAATTCCAAGAGAAAGTGAAGTCCTGCGTTGTTGTCTTCTGGATTTGCAAATGGCCTACAATCTGCTTGCCCAGCCAGCAGGAAAACAGGGTCTGGGTGAACAGCTACTAGCTAAAGCAACCATTCAAACCAGAACAGAGTGAAAACTTTTTGACTTTTACATATATTTCAATAAACAGAATTCAAGCATAAGAGAAATCAGGGACAGTCAGTTGGGCTTGTTCAGCCCGGAGAAGAGAAGGCTCTGGGGAGACCTTAAAGCCTAACAGGGCCGACAAGAAATCTGGAAAGTAACTTTTGACAAGGGACAGGACAAGGAGAATGGCTTTAACCTGCCAGAGGGGAGACTGAGATTAGATATTAGGAAGGAGTTCCTCCCTGTGAGGGTGCTGAGGTGCTGGCACAGGGTGCCCACAGAGAAGCTGTGGCTGCCCTATCCCTGGCAGTGTTCAAGGCCAGGTTGGACACCGGGGCTTTGAGCGACGGGTTGGAACTAGATGATCTTGAAGGTCTTTTCCAATCCAAACCATTCTGTGGTTCTACGAGAGGATAAATAACTCAACAAACAGTTTCACTGACAAGGCAGCCACCCCTTCAGAGTCCTTTCAGACAAACCTGTACTGGGTTTCAATAAGAAAATTGCCAGTTGCAGTAAAGCCTTTTACTCCAACTTCAGGACACTTTGACTCTGCATCCTGAACTCATCAGAAGGACAAAATACCCATCAGCGGGTGCTCTGTGGGACAGGCACGCAGTGGCTTCGCCTCTGCTCTGCAGATCCACTAGAGGGAGATCCTAAATTAAACAACCTCAAGACACACCAGGAGCCAGCAGAACAGCTGAGGGTGCCAACTGCTGCCAAAGATCAACTGCATTGTTCAAATACATGCAAGAACAGGACACCATATCATTTTATATCGAATAAAAAGAGGGCAAGAGAGCTGTAAGGAACAGCTGACTCACAAACCAAAAGGATGCTCACAAAACAATATTCCTCAGAAGTCGTTTAGATTTCTGTGAACCTTTGCATAAAGTTTAAATTCATCTGCAGCTTTATGAATTTCTGAGCAGTTATGCTCAGCTAACATTAAAGCTGCTTGCCTTTTATGAATAAAATATAACTTAAAATAACCAAGCTAATAAAAGAAATTGCCAAAAATGAGAAAACACAGCAGAAAATAAGGGTACTGCATGAACCAAACTTTATCTGTGAGCAATTCTAGAGTAAAGAGAAGTTATCTATATAGGACTTCTTTATTTTGAGTTGGAGATTCTATATGCTGTTTTGGATACAGTAGGAAACACAGCAATTCACATAAATTATTAGAGACAGATTGTTCTCTTCAGGTGCAGATTTCAGAAGCAGTATCAGCAGAATACCAACTAGGAATAAACATGTTAGAAATTTTAGAGTCTAGCAGATAAACTGGAAGAAACAAGAACTATCAATATGTAACATATTGATCTTCACATATTAGCACAAATTCCTTTCATAACATATAACCGCCCAACACCATCTCAAAAAAGGATAATTGGGGGTGTTGCAATCCATTTCTTAAAATGAAGAGCTAATATTAGAGCCTCAAAGCCGGTGACCTGTCTATATAAATATTCAGCTATGTCAGTGATGCTAGGGGGGAAAAAGTTACCACCAAGGATTCATTTCTAGCTGCATTTTTAGGAAGTTATACCAACCCCAGAGAAAAGAAATACATTAAACTTTGAGGAAGGAATCCAATTTACTTCTAAACTACAAACTACTTAGTATCCTACTTCCATTATTAAAGCAGGTACGTGCAGAAAGATACTTGACCTTTTTTAGTTCTTACATTGATACAGGTGGGAAAAATATGTAGATATAAGTAATATGTAAAAGATCATAAACTGACAAACCTCCCAGCTGATGAAACTTGGGGACACTTGTTGACAGTATTCTAACACAGATACATTATGATTGTCTGGAAATGGTAACAGGCTTTCAAAGCAATTCCAAATACATAATTAGGAATTTTTTACAGGCAGCAGTGCAGTTGGATGGTTGGACAGGGCTTGGAGCAACCTGGTCTAGTGGACAGTGTCCCTGCCTGTGGCAGGGGGATAAGCTTTAAGGTCCCTTCCAACCCAAGCCACTCTATGATTCTATGATCCTGATGGAAGCTGGAGCACCTCTGTGTCTGTGAAATAGGCAAGTGACAGCTAATCTTTAATCTTTCTTGGCTGACAGAAATCACAGTTATCTCCTCCTGTGCTGACGGCATCCACCATTAGTTTGTGATGCAGTTAACTGATGCATTTTGACTTGTACTGACTACTACCAAGTCAAATCACAGGAAGGAGAAACAAAGAGACTATCTTAAATTCAGGAAACATGAGGGTCACCACCAGTCACTATCAACCGTAATTACACAACTTACATTATGTCCTTGTCAGACCTACATCTCAAAGCCATTAAAAACAAGCTAGACAGACTACAGCACTGTATCCAGCAACCTGGACACAGTATTAATCATACTCAACTGAATCACACATAAATCCACCTGAAAACAAAACCTACCCCCAATCATCAGTGATTAACTAGTATTAAATTGAATGATGCAGACAAACGCAAACTGAAGGGCCATTTCACAGGTCAGTGAAGAAACTACTGGCAGAATGATCTGGAAGAATTCATGATTTGGGATGAAGAAACGACCAAATTCTAAGCACAATGACTTCTGGACTCATTGGAAAGCTCAGCTCCCCTTCTCTCCCCGTTGAAGAAATTACTGAAGTGATTCAACAGAAAAAAGAGTTCTTTTCACCGAGTTGTCTGAATGATGTTTTGTATAACTAAAGTTACAGTTAAAGAAACCCCCAAAATGATTTTAGTTTTATCCAAGTCTTCACATACACTTTCTACTACTGAAGAATATAATCACAAAGCTGTTAGCCCACATACACTTTGCATAAGGCAGCACGAGAACTAGTCATTAAGCAAATCACAATAATCTATGAAATGAAGAAACAGGCACACTGGCTAATTAAAAAAAGAGCACTGTCATGCCTGCCTATGTCATTTCAGCCTTCTAATAGCTCAGTTTTAGTGTTAGGAGAAGGAGTTAAACTAAATGATGAAGATATATGTATGCATATAAACACACAGTCATTTGAAACACGTTGCACCAAACTCTTCAAGTACAGGCAACAGGAAACAATGTAAACCTCTCAGACTTGTAATTACCATAAACCAGGCCTTTTCAGACTTTACATCAGATGAGCAGAGACCAACACTTTGCGTGTTCCCAAACGTTGCTTGGGACATAGATGATAAACAGTCAGATTGTATGAAATGTTTACAATCAAGTAACCCTCAGGGAAAGGAGAACTGAGGGAGTTAGAAAACACCCAAGCAAGAGGTAGGAGAACGGGATACACAGCTAGATTATTTTAGCTGGCAAAAAGAAAGCTTATACCTCCATCTACCCTTTCTATTTTGGCCTCATATGCCATGTAAGAGCATAAGCACTACAGAATACATCCTCCTTGGTCTAGAACAGTTAGTTTCAAATGTTAAGCCTTGAAAAAACTGTCAAAACGAAAAGCAACTTGAAAAGTCACCCTCTTTGCTGAGAGACGGCCCTAGTAAGGTCATCTACAGCCTCTTTTCTTCTCAAGAGAAAACTGGCACACAAGTACTATCTCTTGTTACACAGACAATCTTTAATGAGGACAAAAGAATTCATTTGGTTACAAGAACACAAAAGTCTCTTTTACTCTTTCAAAATAGAACCTCCCTCTCTGTGTGCCTCAGTGCTATACTGATCAATTTGCTGTACAGCCTATCTGGACTATATTACAGATACCACCTGAAGACTGAAGCCAGTAATGTTTCCACCAATATTTTCAACTCTGTCACCCTGTTCTCCAAACAAATTAAATGATAGACCTGTCATCTACATTGTATGTGCTCATCTGAATGTTATCCCTGGACCCAAGGTCTCCAAGCTGGAAAACTCTTAGATGGTAAGGACTGCCAAAGAGAATGCCCTGAATTCCCAGGCTTGGAGGAAAAAAAACTTAAGTATTTATGATAAACGGATGATCAATGAGAAGCAAAAATACGAATGAATGCCTCTAGAAAACCCTAAAAGTACCCTGATTAAGAGGTATGCATTTCTTGGTCAGGTGTTTGACTTGTTTCCTTAAATAAAAGACAAAAGTAGCAGCTTTCTCTATGCAATAGGTAATATGACAATCAATTTACTCATTAGGAATCACATTTACATGGATGGCAGTCAAGTTGAGATTCACTATAAAACAGCTGTAATTAGGTAGACAAAACTCCCAAATAATTAAAATGGTTAGAGGCTGAACTGTGACTAGAAACAACTTATTGACTTTTATGCATAAATATTTGAATGTTTTCCATCTCCATTTGACTAATCTTTTTAGAAAAGAGAAAGCTCAGAGACTCTTACCAGTTTCCTGCGAATTTAATACTTCTAAGGCATGCATCATGGCACTTGCGAAGACATTGGCATCTTCTTTGCTGCCAAAATTCAGACCATACACCTGCCTAGCATCACGCCACTGGTGGAAGGTCTGTGTAGCCTGATTGTACTTCAGCCCTTTCGGAATGGCACAATTTATTACCACCTAGAAACATTCAAAAAAGAAAAAGTTACTTATGCTTAAAATTGCTTTTTCATCACAAGTTTCTGCTTCATGCGGATTTTATTCCTTAACCATGTGGGTTAATTCAAGACCCATAATCTGTAAAATCACAATGTTGAAGCACATAACCATTTCAATTTTCATTCCAATGCTGCATGAAATCAGTGATGAGAATACACAAGGGGACTAATGAGATATTTTCTATCAACTGTGTAGCTTAAGCGTTCTCATTTCAAAAGATGCAGTGATGTTTCATAACAGCGATGTAGTAATATCAACAGTTCTGGCTTTTAATAGCAGAGTACTTGATGTGAATATGCATCTGGATCTCAGAAATGCATTAGCTTTTTATTTTTTACATTAACTTCACAGAGTACTTGGTAGAACTCTCTTTTCTAACCAAGTTACCACCTTTTCTCTGTGGCTGCTGCACCCCTTAGCTTGCAGTGCTTTCAGCAGCAGTTCATGTGGACTTCTACTATGCATCACAAGGTATCATTTTGCAAGATCGTTATGGCTCACACAAAAGGTGATAAATTCTAGCTAGTAGGACAACCATTTATTACAAGCTATCCACTAAGAGGATCCCATTGCACTTGGATAACTATATCCTCTAACCTTTTCCACTGAATAATGGGAGGAAAAAAACATGTTTCGTCTCAGATGAATTCACAGAGACCATTTATTACTTCGAAGTGCTTAATGATGGCGTGGTATAAACCCAGCCAGCAACTAAGCACCACGCAGTCACTCATTCACTCTCCCCCAGTGGGATGGGGGAGAGAATCAGAAGAGTAAAGTGAGAAAACTGGTGGGTTGAGATAAAGGCTTTTTAATAAGTAATGCAAAAGCCACGCACACAAGCAAACCAAGGAATTCATTCACCATTGCCATCAGCAGGCGTGTGTTCAGCCACTCCAGGACAGCAGGGCTCCATCACACATCATGTTACTTGGGAGGACAAACACCATCACTCTGAACATCCCCCCCTTCCTCCTCCTTCTTCCCCCAATTTCATAGGCTGGGCATGATGCCATATGGTCTGGAATATGCATTTGGTCAGTTGGGGTCAGCTGTCCCAGCTGTGTCCCCTCCCAACAACTTGTGCACTCCCAGTCTGCTCACTGGTGGGGCCTTACGAGGAGCAGAAAAGGCCTTGACTCTGCGTAAGCACTGCTCAGCAGTAACTAAAACATCCTGTGTTATTAACACTGTTCTCAGCACAATTCAAAACATAGCCCCATACTAGCCACTATGAGGAAAATTAACTCCATCCCAGCCAGAACCAGCCCAAACGACAAATCACAGAGCAGATGATCAGTCTACGCTTCACGTGTATGATAAATGACCATGAACAGACTAAAACAATTGTTTTTAAATGCTGGGAGAGGGGGAAACAGATACAGAAGCTTTACTCAAACAAAAGGATTCAATTTTTAACCCCATGACAAGTATCACCAGGCAGAGCGTATTTCAAGACACGGTGCTAAGTTTGCATTTAATCAAGATCTAAAAACTTCGTTACTTGGGAGGACAAACACCATCACTCTGAACATCCCCCCCTTCCTCCTCCTTCTTCCCCCAATTTCATAGGCTGGGCATGATGCCATATGGTCTGGAATATGCATTTGGTCAGTTGGGGTCAGCTGTCCCAGCTGTGTCCCCTCCCAACAACTTGTGCACTCCCAGTCTGCTCACTGGTGGGGCCTTACGAGGAGCAGAAAAGGCCTTGACTCTGCGTAAGCACTGCTCAGCAGTAACTAAAACATCCTGTGTTATTAACACTGTTCTCAGCACAATTCAAAACATAGCCCCATACTAGCCACTATGAGGAAAATTAACTCCATCCCAGCCAGAACCAGCCCAAACGACAAATCACAGAGCAGATGATCAGTCTACGCTTCACGTGTATGATAAATGACCATGAACAGACTAAAACAATTGTTTTTAAATGCTGGGAGAGGGGGAAACAGATACAGAAGCTTTACTCAAACAAAAGGATTCAATTTTTAACCCCATGACAAGTATCACCAGGCAGAGCGTATTTCAAGACACGGTGCTAAGTTTGCATTTAATCAAGATCTAAAAACTTCATCAAGGAAATTAAGATGTACCCCTTGTAGCTCCCTTCTCAATCTCTTGAAGTGGTAGATGATGAACATTACCAAGTGTCAGATGTTTTTTGAATTAAATGACCTGGGGAAATGAGGTATCATGCATCCAACTTTTCACAAAGAGCTACAAGAGAACTGCTGGTACCTGCGTAGACTGCAGCTAACAGCACAGAGTAGGGAAGAAGAAAACATTTTTAGGTTGCCACTGTGCCTTAAAAAGAATCAGATGAGTTCTGTGTACACCACTAGCCTTTATATTTATCTGTAGGAAGGAACGGTAAAAGAGTGCACAAGGACTTTTGCCTTGGAAGTATGTGAAGTGCTTAGTTTATGAGGAAAAAGCCATAGCACAGTTTTGCTACTTCAGTTTAAAAGAAAACTAAGTTTGTTATTTACAGTTCCCATAATTTTACTCAAGATGTATTTATCTTAATGTTAGAAACAATAACAAAAATAGCTTAAGATTCCTATCCCAAATTTTCAGAGATCTGCTTACCTGATGATCCTGAATCTTCCTGCCCACGACTCTGAATGTGTTGTTGCCTGTGTGATGATATATATGAACTCTGCTGAATCCAGTTGATCCACCAGCTGGTACCCATTTCTTATTGGCATCATCATAGACCATTACAGCAGCCCGTGCTTGGCAGATACTCTGTTCACTGTTAAAAATACAAGCATTTTGGAGTAGAACATAAGATTACTTACAGCAAATCATCTTTTTGGTTAGCTTTTGCTTTTTAAACTCGAAATGTTAAAGCAAGACTCCTTGCTGAAACATTCACCTTTCTAAATACATATAACCACTCACACTGTCATTTTGCTTAAAAGTGTTCATTCTGAAACGCTGTGGCCAAGACAAATGGGCCAAACTACTACTGAGAGATCAAGAAGTGCTTTACTTTTCCCGATTTTTGCACTCCCCCCCTTTTTTCCGAGTTTTCCCCCCCCTTTTCTGCTCACCCCCAACCATAAATTTTAATGGAATGCCATAACCATGCACAAAGTTTTCTTCAAAGGCTGAGTAACAAAGTATCTGGAGTTGCACTGGCTCCGTAATATTTCTACAAGAAATGAGGACTGGAAGGCCGCTTGCTTCTCTTAACATATAGAGAGGAAAACACACACAGGATAAAGTTCAGCACAAAAAATTCACCTGCTCATAAACTAAATGCCTTTTTGGCTTGACATATCTTACAATTGTAAAAACATTTGTGATAATTATAACATTTTCTCCCTGCGAAAGGGTTCTCTTGATTACTGAAAAGTCCAATTCCATTAGGAAATTACCATCAGTAGCTAATTCTGATTATGGCAGTCAGCTGGAAGCTACAGTACAGCCTGAAGTTAAAAGGGAGCGTATCATGAATGTCACCAAAGTAGAAACACAAGAAAGCATAATGTACCATAAACACACTTGTGATACTACACAAGTTGTCTTTACGGGAAATGTCCAGATGCAGACAGGAAATAAAAATAGAAAGGAATGATTTCTTATCAGTAAGTCAAATTCTCTGAACATACCACTCCACTACATCCAACATTATAGAAAGCACATGATGCCTGGCTTGCTAGGAATGTGGCCTGCCGTTTGGAAAACTGAGAAGGCTGAAGAGACATGCATTCTTCATAAGTTACAAAAGGGAAGTAGTGAAATATTTCTTCATACTTTATAAATGAGGGAGAACACAACCCTCCCCAAGTCCTTCTGGGGGTTTTTTTGGTGGGTTTTTATGGGTTAGTTGGGTGGTTTTTGGGGGGAGTGTCGTGTTTGTTGTTGGTTTTTTAACAAGACTATGCTGAATTTCGCAGTATCTGATTTCCATCTGACACACAAAACCTCAGCAGCGTATCCAGCTGTTTTGTTAGCTTTCTATACTGACATTTTTGAGAAAACATAGCCTCAATTTCTATCACACTTTCCACAGCCCTCCAACAGTTGGAAAAGCACTCAGCACTGGGATGCTTTTCAAGACTGGGGTGAAGAGAGAATACTGAGATTATGTCTCCTATGTACACAAGACAATCAATATTTCTAACCTTAAAAAACATGTATGTTCTAGTCTCATCACGTATTTAACAACTAGACCAGAAACGGGCGATATCCTCTAATTAGACCACCCTTTTTCTAGCCAGAAATTAATTCAATGTAGGGATAGTAAAATTCTGTAATACACATATATACAGTGCTTCTTTTCTAAATATAGTTTACATTTTAGACCAAAAGGATCACATCTAATCCAAGAAGAAAGATCAGATGCAAAGAAAATAAAGTTATTGACAAGTTTCAGGTGTTTCACAGTCCCACTAAAAACATGCCACAGGTACGTAAAGTTCTCTCATCTGAGAAGAGGACACTGCAAAAATCAACTGGATTTCTTCAGTTTGGGAGTATTTTGGCAAACTCAATCCTAAAAGTTCAAACCTAGAAACAATGTATTCACCAAGTACGTGACAAAGAGTAGCGGTTTTTCTAAAATGCGTAATAGTATTACAGAACACTTGGAATATTTCTGAACCCAAACCAAATTTTTTGCTACATCTGAAGATGGGTCAATCACAGGCATGATAAACCATAGGTGACAGGACCTAGATACTGATTTGGAAGCAGTGCCACGTGGTTGGCAGAGTTCTTGCCAAAAAATAACTTTATCTCAATCATGTGTCAGACAGATTAAGAAAAAAATCATTTAGATTCTGTTAAAAACTGAGGCTATGAGTGTAAGCTAATGTGTTCCAATTACAATGAAGGTAGAACCAGAGCGTGATTGAGTAATGGTACGGTGATCAGAAGACCTAATTAGTAGTAGAGACCATCAAAGTTCAGATGTTCCTATTCAGAGCATTCTCACTCTTTGCCCTGCCAGGGTCCTTCCACAGGCCTCTTTTATAGAAGTTTTTACACTATATTAACATAACAAGAAAAAACACCTACTAATTTGAGAACTATTTAGTATTCAAGTGGCACGATTCATACACACAAATAAGTTGACCTTGAGTAGAGTTTCTAGCTTTTCTTTAACAACTGTTAAACTATTTTTAGGTCCACTTCTTGGGCTATGCCTTATAACTGGAAATATCACACAAGTCGAGATCTCAAATACTTCATGCTTCATTTAAAAGGATTTTCTTAATAGTAGGGATCTATTCTTGCTCATATAAAACTATAAGATGATTCACATACTTTGAAAAATGACAAATACAAACAATTTCCAGTTGACCTATTCAATCACTACACAATAAACCTTTTGCCTTCATTTCACACAAATCCGATAACTAAAATTCTAATGTTCCAGGTCTATAATTTTCATATCCAGGTATCAATCTGAAGGTGACATACTCCCCTCCTGCCAACAGTTCCCACCAACCATCACTTTGCTTATCAGACAACAGCGGTAAGATGGAAAAATGAAGCTATCCCTGTCAGAAACAAATTAAGCCATCACAGTGTGCTATAGCCTTTTCCCAGGGTTCAATAACTGCACATTACTACATGGAGGGGAGATTAAGTCCAATTTTTTTCTCTTAGGAAAAAGTTCTGCACTCTGAAGTGATTACATTTTGTTCTGAAGACAAGCAGGGAGGCATGAGCTTTAGCAAAGATGACTCTTTAGGTCTGTTTTTCAGTGACCATTTGATAGTTTGATATTTGAATATAGGATATTACCGCAAACAGACACCATAAAGTTTAGTATTTAAGTCTCAAAAAAACCACTTTTTAAACAGTAAGATGCATACCTCAACTTCAAAGGCTACAGCAGATCAAAAGTCTGTGCTGTTAGCTCATGACTATCTTTGACGGGTCTAACAAAAACCAAAGTTTAGTTTTCTTTCCATGATCCATCTTTTTCCAGGAAAATGCTAAGTTTAACATACAGACTGCTACTAGAACCTGAGCCAATGCCCTTTGTATTCTTCTACAAATATAAATTTAAGCTTCAGTTCAAAGGAACAAGAGCAGAGTGAATCAGAACAGTATCATTTATTATATTTCTTCTTTTTTAACTTATTACACTTCCCTGCTGTACTTTTAACAGGAAACAGGTCCTCACTGATGTCAGTGTTTATACATGAGCTCTTTGCAGTCCACAGGGTTTTCTGTAATGCACATCCCTTAGACTGCAGGAACTGACCGTGAGATGCCAGGATGACTTGCTTCATTCACTGCACCAGAATCACTTTGGTCTGGTTACAAAGACCTTTTTTACGGACACATTACTTTTACACTGGTGGGAAATAAATTGTCTACAATCATGTTGCAAAAGAAAAGAAACAGAAACTTAATTTATATGCCATTTCATTAGGCCTTCAAAGCATCCTACAGGGTTTACCTGCCTAGCTAACAGATCTTCCTTTTTCTGGTGTGCTGTACTGGTATAATGGTACCAGAAACATTACACTTGGATTAGCCTGTACCTTCCCAACATGAGAACTCATTAGGGGATGCAGGAGAACGAGTGAAGGGATCCATCTCCAGCTTCAAATGCTACTGCCAAAATGCACAGCTGCTCAAAGAACTGATTGCTAACTTACTGGGGCAGTGGGCTGGGGAACTGGAGTGACAATCTAAACATTAACTAAGAAAAATTAAGAGATCATCTGTTCCCAAGTAACTTACTGAACTAAGTCTATGAAATCATATGCTATATATATTCTATGATACAAAAAACTGATAAAAGGGAACATTTATGCAAAACAGTGCTTACTAAACCTTAGGAACAAAGCATACAAGGTCTCTTCCCAAAGCGTAAAGCTTAACAAATACTCAGATAAATATATGTTAGGTGGAGCTCTTCTCTAGACAAAGATGTAAGGTTCTGATTGTTAAAGCCAACCATTATTCTGGTTAAGTCCACCTACAGCAACACCATATAAAGCCAAAGACAGGGTGATTGGTTTTTATTTGGGGTAGAGGAGTGGGGGGAGGTCTGGCACTCAAAAGGCTCACACAGAAAAAACACAGTAGTAATGAATCATAAGATTATTCTTATGGGAGAATATACTTTCCTCCTCCAGTGATGAGATCATATGGAAAGCTCAAAAACCATAGCGAACTGAACCCTAACAGACACCATTCTTTTGCCCAGATGGAATGTGTTCATTCTTTCCCATCCCAAGTTCTTAAGCTCAATGCACAGTGACACCAATGCACAATCTGCTGACCTAAGCCTTTAGAGTTTTTTTACCTCTCTCCAAAAAAGTGGATGCTTGGATTTCCTCTCTCAGAGCTAAAATGAATAAACAGACTTAAATAATCAAACTCATCAGCACAACTGCAGTCACTGAAAAGGTCACTTAAATATACTAACAAGAGCAAGGAAAAGCTGCGACTGCTCAGATTCTCAGCCTTTAGTACTTTTGTCAGTGATGCAACAATGAGGTCCTGGAAAATCCTATCCCATTACCACTTCTTCTGGTGATTCAGGGTTTTTTTGCTATGTTCTCAATTTACAGAAACGTAACAAGATGTTCTTCAGTATGCAGTCTTTGTGGGGCAGAAAGAATGGAAGGAGATGCTGATTCATCAAACGCCTGTTGAGGCTTTTCAAACCATGTGGCACAAAGCTAGAAACTCCGAATGCTTCCAATGCTAACGTCTTAAAATACACGTTTTTAATAAGCAGCTGAATGCTGATCCAGATATCAAGTTTTGTATCTCGGTGG